TCGATTCAAGGAATCACATGTCCAAACTACTCCATGGGAAAACTTATTATTAAGCCTTCTTATGACAAGATTCGTTCAAAACCTCTTATTTTTCTATGAAGGATTCTGGGGGACATTTATGGACCGATTTATCCTATATGTCGACCATTTAGATATTTTATGGTTTTGGTTGACGTTTCCACACGTTGGTTACACATGTGCTTGTTGTCCACAAAGAATGCTACATTCTCCAAACAGTTGGCCCAGGTTATCAAGCTTAGGGCTCACCATCCTGATTATCCTATCAAATCTATTCGATTGTATAATGCTGGAGAATTCACATCTAAAACTTTTGATGACTATTGCATGTTTGTTGGGGTTAAAGTTGAACATCCAGTACCCCATGTTCACACCCAAAACGACCTCGTAGAGACATTCATTAAGTGCTTACAAATAATTGCTCGATCACTGGTCATACGTATCAATATTGCACGTAGCCATGTTGGTTCGCCTGATGCTTATTGCGACCCAACCATATAATGTCTTTCAATTGGTTACCGGTTACGAGCCCAACATATCACATCTGCGCATTTTTGGTTGTGCGGTCTATGTGCCGATTTCACTGTCTTTATGTACAAAAATAGGGTCTCAGGGAAGGATGGGAATCTATGTCGAATATGATTCTCCTTCAATTATTCGTTAGTTAGAACCTTTGATAAGCAATCTATTTATCGCTCATTTTGTGGATTATCACTTATATAGGATAGTCTTCCTGTTGTGAGGGGCAGATAAGAACGTTAACATTCTTGAAGAATGACGTGAATTATCGTGGACGACTCCCACTTTGTGTCATTTAGATCCATGCACCGCTCAGTCTGAAACTAAATTGTAGTGTATATTAGATCTCCAGAGCATAGCTCAGAGCATGCTAGATGCTTTCACTGATCTAGCATGAGTGATAAGATCACATATTCCAGCTGCAAATGTTCCTACAAAGATATATGTACCAAATGTATGATAGACTTCCCTTATGGAGGCCCGAGACGCCACTTTGGTCGATCGACGTACATTAGTGGCTAGCCAATCATTTGCCCCTACACACAAGTATGGCAGACCACTTGATTTAAAGGATTCATACCCCCGGAAGAGGAAACACACAACAGATGCACTTTAAAAGCCTACCGTGAATTCGAGTGTCGCCTACTCATTATATCCAACTCATGAGGAAATTCTAGATTACGGAAGCGTCCTTGAAGAGACAAATCCACCTCCCGAGAATCAAGAGATTTTGGTCCATTATGCTAGCTTAGATGATGTTTGGTGTAGAAATGAGATGATCGTCGACAATGCATTAGCATATGCAGTAGCTACTAAGATCATGTTGATCGATGACATTGAACCTCATTCCGTTAATGAATGTTGAAGTAGAACTGATTGGTCAAACTGGAAACAAGCAATCCAAGTCGAACTCGATTCGCTTGCGAAACGTAAGGTGTTTGGACCTATAGCTTGTGCTTCTCCATATATGAAGCTTGTTGGTTACAAGTGGGTTTTCATTCGAAAACGTAATGAGAAGAATGAAATTGTGCTTTACAAAGCTCGTCTTGTTGCGCAAGGCTTCTTACAACACCTCGAGATTGACTATGACGAAACTTTTTCACCCATTATGGATGTGATTACTTTTCGCTACCCTATCAGTTTGGTAGTTTCCCAAAAATTGAGCATGCAGCTGATGGACATAGTAACTGCATATCTCTATGGGGATCTTGATACGAAAATTTATATGAAAGTTCCCGAAGGACTTACATTGACTGTATCAAATGTTTCCAAACCCCGGAACATGCTTTCAATTCGGCAGAGACGTTCACTTTACGATTTGAAGCAATTCGAAAGAATGTGGTATAACCGTCAGAATAAGTATTTAACTAGTCAGGGATATATGAACAACGAATTATGCCCTTGTGTGTTCATTAATAAGCCACATTCTGGTTTTGCGATTGTTGCAGTTTATGTCGACGACATGAATCTCGTTGGAACTCCTGAAAAGATCGTAAGAACTGTTGCGCACTTGAAGTCAAAATTTGAGATGAAAGATCTAGGAAAGACTTGATATTGTCTCAGTCTTAAGATAGAGCACCGTTCGGATGGAATTTTAGTACATCAATCGAACTACACCCAGAAGGTGTTGCACTGCTTTAACGAGGATAAAGCAAAGCCTTCACGTACTTCTATGGTCGTTCGATCGCTAGATGCAAAACAAGATCCCTGTCGTTCGAATGAGGATGATGAAAAGATTCTAGAGTCTGAAGTTCCTTATCGAAGTGCGATATGCGCTTTATTGTACTTAGCTCAGTGCACTATACTCGACATCTCCTTTGCTGCTAATCTTTTGGCAGGATATAATAATGCACCAACACGTAGACACTAGACTGGTGTTAAAGACATCTTCTGCTACCTTAAGGGTACTATAGATCTAGGTTTGTTCTATCCCTATGGATCCTTGAGTGATGCCGCACCCCTTAGCTCGAGTCGATTCTTGCCTTGTTGGTTATTCCGACGCAGGATACTTATCTAATCCGCACAGGCACGCTCTTAAACTGGTTATATCTTTACTGTTAGAGGCACCACAATCTCTTGGAGGCCAACTAAACAGACCTTAGTTGCCACTTCGTCTAACCATGCTAAAATTCTTTCCTTATACGAAGCAACTCGGGAATGCTTTTGGTTGAGAGCAGTTATGGGCCATATTTGAAGCTCCTGCAATCTTTACCCCATCATTGATGTCTTGACGATGATCTATGAAGATAATGCAACATGCATCGAACAACTTAAGAAGAGTTACATCAAAGGAGACAACACTAAACACATTGCGCCGAAGTTCTTCTTCTCACATCAACAACAAGAGCATAAGAAGATTGAAGTCACGCAAATCCATTCAGAAGATAATCTGGCCGACCTCTTCACCAATTCACTACTAAATGCGACATTTCAGAAGCTTGTTCAAGGAATTGGTATGCATAAACTTTCTGAGTTGTAACATTGCTAGATCTTTTTGGAATTGTGTCAAACTCAGGTGAAGTATCCTGAAGTATTCTTATTTGATCTTAATGTACTCTTTTTCCTACAATTAGAAGAATTTTTCCCACTGGGTTTTTGCTACCTAACTAGGTTTTGACGAGGCACCAAACTTGGGTTGATCATATCCCTGATGACATCCCGTAAATGTTTCATTTGACTTTGCGTTTCTAAAGCATTTTTTCTTAGACTATGGATTTTGTCCCTACTCGGGTTTTTACCATAGCCAATAGGGTTTTTTGTGAGACTTACTTCCTTATGCAAGTTCCTACCTTATTTGAGAATAGCGTGTTCCAAGAATCAATGCCGACAAGTCGACTTCCTCAACCACTACATGATGCCGAATCTCCTTTAGTATTTACACACTCAAGGCGGAGTGTTATAAACTCCTTGTTGATGTGTGATTGTATAAATCTTAGATTAGATTTGATTCTAGTTATTCTTTCCTATTAGGATTTGTATTTCTTGGAGGAAAAGGATTTCTTCTCTCTCTTATTACTATAAATAAAGGCACTGCGTAGGGGGAATAACACATCCTCTACACAACCCTACAAACATATCTCTCTCTATTCTCTCTATGCAGCCATCTCCCTCTCCCATGTCAGTTAAATATAGGTCACAACATGTTTTGTATGGGATCTCTTTCGTAGTTTATCATCAAAAGGAATTCAGCCTAATGTCAAGGCATATACTATAATGATTAGTGGATTTTGTGATGGGTGGCTAACATGTGAAGCAGAAAACTTGCCAAGGGAAATGGAAGTGAGCGGTTGTTCTCTAGATGGTTGCACATACAACACAATTATCCGAGGGTTTTTCAATAACAATGAGACATCAAGGGCAGTGGATTATCCAAGAAATGGTGGAGAGGGGTTTTTCTGCAGATGTTTTAACTATGGAGTTGATCGTTAATTTATTATCTAAAAATAAAGTCGATCCCGCTTTGTTGGCATTTATAGAAAGTCCGTGATGAAACTGATATGCATCTTTGCAGTTTTGACAAGTTTCTGTGCTTCCTTCCCTTGAATGCTGCATTGGAGGGAGTTGTTTCGCTGCTGAGTCCAGTTCGGGTAGTCATTCATTCATGCTTCGTCTAGTGATGTATGATACGTTTTAGTAATTTAATCTATCAAGTGGCAGAGCAACTTTTATGTTAATCTTTTAAGATGATGAAATATGTTGGAGAAGCAGAGTACCTGGACTGCTATGAAATTTGTAAACGCATTTATGGCTTGGTTTAACTCCACGTTTATTTTTTTGGTAATAATTCTGTTAAGCATATGAGTCTGATGGAAGAAGCAATGAACGAAATGATAGCTACAGGAGTAGGACTCAATCCATTTTTAAAATTCCGCACTTACTCCAACACCAGATACGATATAGACATCTGATCAAATAAAAAAATAAAAAACAAAAAACCAAATAATATTTTATTTTAATATTTTATAACAATTACACAAATGAACATGGAGATTTAAGTGGTTCACCAATTTGGTTACATTCATGAGGGTTTGTTTGCGTTTGTATTTCACTACATAAGATAATCTTACAAATCGGTTACATCCATGAGGGCTTGTTTGCGTTTGTATTTCACTACATAGTATGTGGTGTTTGCGTTTGTTACAAGACCATATTAATCTACTTTGTTTTTCACTGGATCATAGTTTGTGTGTTGATAATATGTGGCATAAATTAATAAAAATGCTACACGAGAGAGAGAGAGAGAGAGAAACGTTTACAGAAACGGTTTCAGTAGGAGTTGCAATAGCCATCTGCAAATATAAAAAAAATGTGATTAATAAGATGCTCTTTCCTTAAGGTTTTTGACATAACACACAAACACGTATCACACTTACGAAAGGAACAAAGTAATGTAAAAGCAGTGTAAAAACACTAGATAAATTTTAATGCAAAAATGATATAATTGTATATCATGATAAAAATAGACATGAAAGTGTGGATAATGACGACGACAACAGTGGCGAGGGCAATAGTGGTAGGGATGGCAACAATGACGATGGTGACGGTTGTGGTTGTGGTGGCAAAGTGGTGGTTGTGTTTATGGTGGTGGTGGTGGTTGTGGCGGCAACAATGGTTGTGGCAGTTGTGGTGGTGGTGGTAATCGTGGCGGTATGGCTGTGGTGGTGTTTTGTATTGGTGGTGGAGATGGCGCGACTGTGGTGTGGGCCATGTGGTGGTGGTGGCAACAATGGTGGTGATAATGGCAATGGTGGTGTAAGAGGTTAGTGTTTATAGTGGTAGGTGGTGGACCGGTGGTGATCAATTTGTTCTCTAAAGATAAATAATATCATTCTTTAAAACTAATGGGCGTGTTGCATGAATTAAAAATAAGGAAAACAAATGAAAAGGTCTTCAAACTTTTGAATTTTAACCAAAAGTCATGTACTAACTTTATTTAATGGTTAGGACAAAACCCACACTAAACCGGCCCAGTAAAGTTGGCCCAAGCAAAAAAAAAATTTATCGAGCTTCCAATTTTACCCCTAATGTCAAGTCTTGGCCCGTTTATTTGGTCTGTTTCCTTTATATCTTCTTCTCCGTCCAAAAATAGGGGTGTGCTATCCACACACCCCATTTTAATTCTCACACACCCCTTGATAATTTCTGTCTATTGATTTTTTTTTTCAATTCATCCGATCTGACGATCGAAAATTAAAAGGGTGTGTGAAAAGTAAAATGAGGTGTGTGGATATCACACCCCTAAAAAATACAATACTCTTTATGATTTCTTTTTACAAATTTCGGTGAGATGTGGGTTGTTTTCTCAAATTTCAGTCCATTGAAGTTGAAGTTGAAATTGATTGCGAAGTTGTCAAATGCATATTTTAGGCTGTTCGACTCCAACATGCTCATCAACAACATCACGATGGTGATATGCTTGGATGATTACCATTCCCTAGACAGGTTTACCATTCCCTAGACAGGACAGGGAGGAAGAAGAAAGGAGTGACGATGCTAGACCCATGAGCTAACGACTTCGATCTTACGCTAGACCCAATAACCTACCTGTTTTCAGTTTCATAAATAGTCAGTTTTAGTGTACTCGTTCTCAGTTTCATAAATGGTTAGTTTCAAAAATAGCGTACTCGTTTTCAGTTTCATAAATAGTGTACTCATGTTGAGTTTCATAATTAGTGTACCCATTTTCAGTTTCATAAATAGTACTCATGTTGAGTTTCATAAATGGTCAATTTCATAAATAGTGTACCCGTTTTCAATTTCATAAATAGTATACCTGTGTTGAGTTTCATAAATAGTGTAAACATTTTCAATTTCATAAATAGTGTACCCATGTTGAGTTTCATAAATAGTTAGTTTTGTAAATAGTGTACTTGTGTTGAGTTTCATAAATAGTTTAGTTCTTGGGTTTAGCTAACTAGATTAAAGCATTTGTGATTTTTGCATGTCTTTTTTCTTCTTTAGCATTCGTTATTTTCATTCTCTTTTACTTTATTCAGTCTAAAAATTAAAGTTTTTCTCCAACATTCTATTCTTTCAATTTTTTTTTTAAATTTATTCAATCTAAAAGTCAAAGATAAAACCTCAAAAGCCGTTTTCCGAGAAAACCAAACCATTTTCCTCTTCATATTAACGTGACAAATACGTTATTTTATGTTACAAGCGTGCATTTGTCATGTCACACTAATTCATAAAAAAGGATAAATTACATAAAATTACCTCAACTATTGGGCTAGTTACAGTTTTATACCCCATCTTTAAGAAATGTCAATATCATACCTTATCTACGAATTTATTACAATTTCATACATTCTGTCAATTGTTCGGCAATTCTTCTGTTAAATGCTGATGTGGCTTGAGGCGGGATCCACTTTCTATTAAAAAAATAATTTAATATTTAAAAAAATTAATTAAATCTTAACTAAAATTAAAAAATTAAACCCCAAAAAAAAAAAAAAAAAACTTAAACTAAAAAACCAAAAAAACCCACCCACACCTAGATTTTCCCCATCGACCGTGTCCCCCTAGCACGGATTAAGAACTTGACGAAGAAGAAGAAGGTTCGGGGAGAGTGAGATAGAGAGATAGAGAGACTGTGGGAGAAAGAGAGATCGAGAATCGACAAGAAAGAGAGAGGGAGTCCCGACTCTCTACATCACCTGTGACCGCGACATCCACTCTGCCAACCCTTTTAGCCGACGAAACGAGCGAGTTCCGGTTACACCCTTCTACGACTCGGTGAACTCGGCCACCGATTCCATCCCCGCTGTCAACTTCCTTGATGACCGTTACTTTTCCGACGTTGACGGAGAGATCGAGGCGAGGAGGGAGACGTCAAGCGGTCACGCTCCCCCGATTCGAGAGGGAGGAGATCGAGAATTGACAGGAGAGAGAGAGGGAGTCCCGACCCTCTGCGTCACCTACGACTGTGAGAATGGGGTGGTAAAGGAAGGTTTGGGTTAAGGGAGGCCACGGGGACAAAATATATGAAATTTTAATAAATTCGTAGATGAGGTATGACATTGACATTTTTTGAAGACAAGATATGAAACTGTGAATAGCTTAACAGTTGAGGTAGTTTTATATAATTTATCTTAAAAAAAATATTGAGCTATAGTGCCACACCAATCAACTAGCATTGCTTACCATTCCCTGTCAAAGCACCTAACCTTCTCTCTCTCCTCTCTTTCTCTCTCTCTCTAGGTGAGTCTGATGACAGACAGGAATAGTGGGGCAGCAGATCTTGGAAGCTCCACCCTTATTTTTTTTTTTAATAATAATTTCAAATGTTTTTAAACAATTATAAAAAAAAATAAAAACAAAAAGCCAATCGTCCCTCTCCCCTTACTGAAAATCTGGTTGTCTCCTTTGAGATCTACTGCACAATTGCAGCACACCCACTGCACAATTGCATCGCGGACACACTCGGCAGTCGGCAAAGCGGTCTGCCTTTCTTTCAAGCGGAAGCGGGAATGTCTGCGCAAACGTCAGTGAGAACGGAGAGCTTGATTGCGGGAGATCCGTAACATACTGCAAACTCAAATCCTTCACTCCTGCCGTCGATCCTCCAAAGGGTCCCAATTTCCATTCAATGTAGTTTACTTTCATCCTCACCTGAAAGCTTCCAGTCCCAATTTTCATACCCTTTATTTTACTTTCCTCCGAATAGGATTGTTGGAGAACAATTCAGAAATAAACAAAAATAACAGAAATAAACAGAACTTGAAATTCTAATATTTTATTTACCAAATATACTTGACGTGCAGAATGAAATTATACAATAAATACATAAACTAATATAATCAATGATACTAACTTGATCACAGAAGGTAGAGGCTAGCGTAAAAGCTATGTCCTTCGAACAGTATTTTCGTCCCACTCTTGTGCTTGTGGTTCTACAACGTCTGCTCGACCAGGATACAACTACCAAATTCTACAACTTGCACTAGATTATAGAACTCTAACGAATTGCTTTGTGTGTTTACTCTCTGGAAATTTTATACGGAAGATAAGAAGGAAGAAAACATGATTCTTACTTGGATACTGTGATTATAAATATATAGGCTGTTTCATACCCTTTTAAATACCTGTTCAGTGTATTTGAAAGCACACAACTCTTTCTAATAGCTGTATCTTTTAATAAAAAAGTACAACTCTTTCTAACAGCTGTGTCTTTTAATCAAAACGTTTTTTAATTAATAAATTAATTAAAAAACTTAATTGTCTTGATTCAAGCCTAATCCTTGTCTTGATTAATTAATATTAATTGTATTTAGGCTATATTATATTCAAGCCTAATCCACATAACCATAAGGGCCAAGCTTTCAATCCATTTCCAAATAGTCCAAGTTCTAATTACTAAGAAAAGGAAATAAGCCTATATAAAGGCTTGTGAAATTTCCGAACGCTTCATCTAAAATTGCCCAGCTCCTGCTGACACCTCGTGGTCTTGGGTTTGAAAGTTGGTGTGCTTCTGCGGCTCTGTTGTTGCCATTGAGTGTCACTAACAAAACCAAAAAAAATTCTTAACGAATCGGCTGACGGAATGGTTTTCCGTTAGGGGCAAGAGTTGGAAACTTATTTATTTCGTGTTGGGTTTTTAACTCAGCCCATGTGTGTTTTCAATGCTTGTGAGGCCTCATAAAGATTAACTTTGTCTTTATGATCAAACATGAAGTCATTTTTGTTAAATAATATTATAGGATGGTTTTTGGTTAAATTAAACTTAATATAAGTTATTTTCCTTAAAATTTCTTAATAATTAATGTTGTACCATACTTTATCAATTCCGAAACTACTGAGCACTGGTCAACTCAATAGTTTAAGGGATTTGAAAGATTCATATTGACGCACCACTGCTTAAGCACAAGAGTTTTTCTTTAACCAAAAGCCCAATCACAACGCGACACGTGTCAACCTCAGAATAAAACTCCTAGAGTCCCACATCGACCACAAGTGGAAGTTGGGGACTCTCCTCAACCATAAAAGGAGACTATTCTCCTACAATTAATCCCTAATGTCATTATTTTACTTAAACTCATCATTAGAACTCACTAATGATGATTATACTTGGACCTATATGTTGTGTAAACTCTTATTTATTAATGAGAACTTCTCTATCCCGTGAACATAGCCCAACTTAGGGTGAAACATGTACATTTTATGTTTGCTTCCGTATCTCAATCTCTTTACATATTATCCTCAGTAGGTGACCAGAGCAACTTTGCGAATGTCACAAACTTGACATTTTATATTGTTCCAAAGTCTTACTAATTTTGTGCATCAACAATTAATATATAGTAATTCTTGCACCCGCACTTGGATATCTACAAATTTTTAGACTATATAATATATATTTAAGACCTTCTCCATCCTCTGGATAAATTAACAACTCCAACGTTGAACACAACTTAGACTCAATGTCTTTTTTGTTGCATGAAAATATTGAATTGTAATGCAATGTAAATATTAATAACCACATGGTATTGAAAAATCATGCAAATTTCAACATAAATAAAATAAGGTATGATATTGTAATATTTAAAACATTAGATATGAGGATGATATTGAAAAATCATGCAAGTTTCAACATAAATAAAGTTTCTTCCACCCACACACTCCACCTCCACGGCTATTTTTAATCTTCTCCCGACTTTCTCTCTTTTTCACTCCACTAAACACTAGCGAAGTTTTTCTCGTGTGCTAAGTGGAGCTCAGATTTGGAGGCTGAATCGCTGAAGATGATGCGGGCAACGATTGCTGCTTCT